CGGGTCTCGATCTCTCTCTGGGCGCGCGCAGCAGGCCGGTGTGTTGCGCTCCTCGCCATAGTCGCAGTTGGTTAAGGGACATTAAGGACAAACTTATTCTAGAAGTTTTCGTCAGATTGTGGAAACTTCTGGTGCGTTGAAAAAAATGATAACAAAGTTATTTAAATTGGTCTCGGTTTAAATGTATGGAAAAACCTTTGATCCAGGTGAAGGCACCCGCAAGAATGCCTGCAGTTGTGGGAACATAAGGGCACATTTCCGCGGCTTTTGTTTGGGGGACAGGATAACTTTTTGGAGATTTCCAGAAATTATACAGTCCTGCTCTGTCTTTTAGGGACAGGAATGACAGGCGCTTCCCGTCACTGGAGGTGGTTTTGGGAGCTGGCCTCGACACTGAGCCCTGGATTCCACCTTGATTTCCGGGGAAATGGGGGCATGGGGCACTTGACAGTGTTCAGGATGGCTGCCCGGGAGCATTGAGTGATGGGAGCGGAGTGATGGTGTCGGTGTTCTGGTGGCTGGTCCACCCAAGCTCGGCTGAAGAATCCCATGATCTTGTCGCTCTGTTTGTGTAGACAGAAGGCGTGGAGGTCTAAGGCTTTGACTGCTTCCAACGGTGCTGTGTCTCCTGGGACTGGCTTGGGTACTCCCAGGTCAAGGGTCGAGGGTCACTGCTCTTGGGAAGGAGGGAGTGGAGTGGAATGCTGGCCTTGTTGGCTGAACTGGGCTCTCAGCATTCCTGGGAGTTTTACAGAGTGGCTGGACCCAGCCACAGAGGTTTGCTTTCCAGTCTCAGGGACTGCCTGGCCCCACAGTTGGTTATGGAAATATTTCAGCCAGTTCCCTCCCACTAAGGCCAACTTCTGATGATCCTGGACTTGGAGGTGGGGATCCTGGTAGAGACAGAGAAAGCAGGATTTCTGGGGGGCTGGCAGCCAGCCCCATCCAGATACCAGGTCTGCATTCTTCCCTGCCTCGGGCCTGGAGTGCCCATGCTAAAAGGCAACGCTTAGCGGTGTTCTCAGGCTTGTGGAGTTCTGTAGGTGAGCACATCAATGCTGAGAGACTGTCTCTTCTGCCTGGAACCCCCAAGCTGAGCAATACTTGTTCAGGGTTGGTCCTTACTAAAGCCGAAGACCTCAGAGTGGGAGCCACCCTTCCCTTAGGGCAGCTTCAGCCAGCACCTTGGGTTCATGGCTCACCTTGGACAGTGTCTCCCTGTCCTGGGCTTGTCAGTCTTGCCCAGTCCTCCCTCCCTTTTCCCCCTGGGGAGCACTTTGGTTACTGGCAGTGTAATTCAACCTGTTGACTCCAGTTTCCTTAGCTGACAAAAGTGGAGCCCCCCCTTCCTCTTCCTTTCCCTACCTCCTCTCTCTCCCTTTCTCCACCCCTTCCTGCCTTCTTCCCTTTCTGCTTACTTTCCACTCCCACTCCCTCTGTAGCCCTTCTCTTTCCATCTTTCCCTGGAAGGGGCTCCTTTCTAGCCTTCCTCCCCACTTGCCCTGAAATCTGCCGACTGGGTCTCTCTAGAGCTTGAGCCCCCTGGGTGGTGAGGTAAGAAATGCAGAGATACTTTCTCAGCTGTGGAAGTTGTGGGTTCTGTCTTGGAAGACACTGCCCTGACTGAGGTGACAGAGCCACAGCTGAGAATCAAAGATAGAGTCCCTAGAACAGTGTCTCCCATTTGCCCTCCTGTTGTCCCTCCGTCCCTTTGAGGCTTCAGATCAGAGTTCTGCCACCAGCGGTCTCCTGTATTTGAGGAGTGTCAGCAACACTGTGTTCTCAGGGGATTCCTGAGATTAGCTGAGGTGCCTGCTTTTCTGAACTTCAGACATCACAGATGGTGGGTCTTCCCTCCTGAGGCTCTCGTTACAAACTTTCGTGTTGGAGGACCTGCTGTGGCCCTTGAAGATGCAAGAGTCAGGGATGGGTGGTCCATCCAGGCTGGTCCTAACTTGTGTGAGACACTCTTGCTATGGCATGAGGAAGGCTTGTCAAAGCGCTGCCTGACTAAGGTGAGATGTGGCCAAGGTGATAGTTCAGCTTCATGTGGTACTCACAGGACTACCTGTCCTCTGGGAACTGAAGGGTGTGGGTGGAGGATGGCTCCAGAACTGGGCCATCCATTTGGGTTCAGGGAGAGGTCCAAGAAAGGGATTTCAGACCTGATTTCCAGAGTTCCCAGTTGTAAGGCTGGCGAATGCTGAGTAGTGAAGGCATGTTACAAGAAGTCTACGGCGCCCGAATAAAGAATTAACAGGTATTTATTTGGGGAGCACTCACACAATGATGGTAAGCAACCACCGTGGTCTTCTGCTCCTGGAAACCATCTCCTGTAGGGTGCTCCGACCACTACCCGAGAGAGAGAGAGAGAGAGAGAGAGAGAGAGAGAGAGAGAGAGAGAGAGAGAGAGAGAGAGAGAGAGAGCACTCTATCGAGCCCCTCCTTTTCCTTATAAAGGGTCATGTCCACACATTGAAGCCACACCCTAAGGTGTGGCCATTACCTCAAGTCTGTTGGTGGAACAAAAAGCCACTGCACAGTATGTTGGGCAGTGTGGGCACTGTGTCAAGGTGACCCCAGGTGTGTGGGGATGGGGGCTTGGTTTTTGGGGTCTCTCTGTCTCAGTTTTGTTGTCTGCCATGACTCTACAGGCTGTGGTGAGTAGGAGCAGGATCAGTTCCTGTGGCAAGTGGGGGGGGGTGGTCTTGGTAGAAGAGGGCAGGGGACACTGGGGACATCTCTCCCTGGTTCTACGGAGTGGATGAGATTCATGAGCCAGGTAGGTCCCTGGAGGCCCTGGCTGGTATGTCGGGGGCTGGATAAGTGCTGGATCCTTGCTACTCTGAATGTTGTCAATGGACAAAGACTTTTGTTTATAGACAGTTGTGTGACCCAGTTTAGATAGCCCAGTGGGGAAGCCAGGGGACCAACAACCCTGGCTGGCATTTCTGTTTCAGGGCTCTTCAGGTTTTCTTTCCTAAGCCTTTTTCTCCATGGATGTGAGACATGAGTTGATTTTTTTTTTTTTTTTTTCTGCAGCTTCAATGAGGGTGTGGTTCCTGCTTAGTTTCCATGGAAACTTGTTGCCCTGGCCCTCCTAATAAGGGATGTAGGGGAGCAACACCCCGCACTTAACCATTTTCCTCCTCCAGGGCCTGTCTCTGAGCCATCTCCTACATTTGGGAATGAAAAAGTGGCATTCTGAGATGTGATTTGCCAAGAAATGTTCCTTTCCATTGTTACTGCTACACTAGGTTGGAGGTGGGTCAGGTCCTGCCAGGATGTCCAAGAGCTGCTTTAATTAATTAATTTATTCTCCTCTCATTTTTTTCTGGATAACATGTCCTGGTTCATCTTCAAGGTTTTGGGGAAAGGCTTAACTATGGTGTTTTACCTAAATGGAGCTAATGGATTTGTGTCTGCGCCCTGGGGGTTTCTTTTGTGCCCAGTAGGTGTGGTTGCTTGCCCCCTCCCCAGGCCTCCACTAGAGGGCACCTCCTGTCACTTCAACTTGGTTCTCTGTAGAGTCATGGGGGTTGTTTTTTGTTTTTAATTTTTATTTTATTTGCATTGATGTTTTACCTGCGTGTATGTCTGTGTGAGGGTGTCAGAGCTTAGAGTTGCAGACAGGTGTGAGCTGCCATGTGGGTGCTGGGAATTGAACCCAGGTCCTCTGGAAGAGCAGTCAGTGTTTTTAACCGCTGCGCCATCTCTCCAGCCCATGGGGATCATTTTTAAAACTGGTTACTGGTTCTGTTTTGTGTTGTGGGGGCTGTGATATTGTCTTTTGGGGGGAGGAGTTTCATTTTTCTAATCAGTAACTTGGTTAACTAAAAGCAGTGTTTGGTTGGATTCAGACATGATCCCGGTGACAGATAGCCTGTCCTCTTTGTCCCAGGGACATCCTGATCACCAGCGTGGATGCCACGACAACGTTCAAGGACCTCTGTGAGGAAGTGCGAGACATGTGCGGCCTGCACCAACAACACCCGCTCACCCTCAAGTGGGTGGACAGTGAAGGTAGCCCCAGTCTTGGGATGGTCAGTCTGAGCTCCAGGGCTTTGGCTAGGTAGGCAGCCTCCCCCAAGTAGGCCTGAACTTGTTAGAACCAACAGTTCCTTGGTAGGGTGGCTGCAAATGGGTAAATAGGATCTGAGACAGGGCAGCACTAAAGGCCAGGCAAAAGGGTGTGTCCCTGCTTTGCTGGGGACTCGTCTCAACTGCAGGGGCAGCTTGTGCATCTCCTCCATTGACTCCTTATCCTGGGGTGTCTGCCAGCTGCTTTAGGAAAGACTTGCTCTTCAATTCCCTAGAAGAACCACGAGGCTTCTGTTTCCTACCTCTGGATTCTTCTCTCTCCTCCCCTTCTTTCTCATCTCTCTTGGGTTCTCACTTCCTTCTCTCCCTCCTCATCTCCCTCTCTCCTCTTCCTCCTGGCTGTGCCTCCTCCACTCTCTTGCTTTCTCTGTGTCTCTCTATCCTCATCTCCATTTCCTTCCTTCCTGCTCTTTCTTTTCCACATCCCAACTACAGCTGTCAGTCAGAGGCACTGTGGAGTAGCAGGGTGCGTGGCTTCTCCCGTTTCAGTAGAACTCCTCGGGGCTGGTTGTGTGCATCTCTGCAGCCATCAAGCCCAGATGGCAAAGACCTCTTCTTTCTTTCTTTCTTTCTTCCTTTCTGTTTTTTTTCCCGAGACAGGGTTTCTCTGTGTAGCTTTGGAGCCTATCCTGGCACTTGCTCTGTAGACCGGGCTGGCCTCGAACTCACAGAGATCCGCCTGCCTCTGCCTCCTGAGTGCTGGGTTTAAAGGCGTGCGCCACCAATGCCCGGCAAAGACCTCTTCTTTTACCTAAACTGCCTAGGAGGATGTTCTAGGTCTTTCTTGTTGCTAAGATTTTTATTTATTTAGTATGTGTACAGTGTTGTGCCTGCATGTACACCTGCACACCAGAAGAGGGCACCAGATCTCATTACAGGTGGTTGTGAGTCACACATAGGTCCTGGGAATTGAACTCAGGACCTCTGGAAGAACAGCCATCTCTCCAACCCTCCTAGCAAGCTCTTAAAGCTCCCAAGGCTGTGAGCGAACATGACCTCCTCCTGGGACACTCAGGGTCCCTTGAGGGAAAATTAACTCACTGGTTTGGATGGCTGTTCTGGAATCTCCCACCCCCGCTCCCTGCTGATCATGAACAATGAGATTTGGCCCACCCAGACTTGTGTCTGAAGTGCGGAGTAGCTCAGACCTCTTTGCCTTCATACTCCTGTGCCTCATTGGTGCCTCTCGCCTCCACCCCCTAGGTGACCCTTGTACTGTGTCCTCACAGATGGAGCTGGAGGAGGCCTTCCGCCTGGCCTGTCAGGGCAGGGATGAGGTGCTCATCATCCATGGTAAGTGAAAGATCTGGGTCAGACTCCTCGTCTGTCCACTTGGGTCTGTAGAGATAAAGGGTCTGTCTTAGATTGCTTCCTGCTGCTGTGGTAAACACCGTAACCAAAGCTACTTGGGGAGGAAAGGGTTTATTTTGCTTACACATCCTGATCATGGTCCCATCATTGAGAGAAGCCAGGGCAGGAACCTGGAGGCGGGAGATGAAGCAGACATACCTACCCCGGGGTGGTACTACTCACCACCAACTGGGTCCTCTGGCATCCGTCAAGAAAGTGTCCCACAGACTTACCCTAAGGGCCAGGCCGATGGAGGCATTTTCTTAGCTGAAGTTCCCTTTTCCCGAATAACCCTGGCTTGTGTCAAGTGTACAGAACTAACCAGATCATAGCCTGAGGGCCTCTCCTCAACTGTGGGGATATTGTCTGACAACCTAAGGATTGGGAAGCCGCATGGAGCCTGTCAGTGTAAAACTTTCTGATGTTCTTATGTGCTTTTAAAAGTAAATTTATGGGATTGAAGAGAAGGCTCAGGGGTTGAGAATACTTGTTGTTCTTGCAGAGGACCTGGGTTCTGTTCCCAGCACCCACATGGTGGCTAGCAACTGTCTGTAACTCCAGTTCCAGGGGGAATCCAACACCTCTTCTGACTTACGCAGTCTCCCACGTGCATGTGGTACACCCATATTGAGTCAGACACACACATACACATAAAAATAAATTTACTCCAGCCGTGTCTACAAGAGCTAGTTCTAGGACAGCCTCCAAGCCACAGAGAAACCCTGTCTTGAAAAACCAAAATAAATAAATAAACAAATTTACTTAATTAGAAATGTATCATTTCACTTGTTTATTGTGTGCATGCATGGGTATACACGGGTACCACAATCCATGTGTGGAGGTCAGAGGACAGCTTATGTGAGTTGGTTCTTTTCTTCGTGACTTGGGTCCCAGGGATTGAACTCAGTTCCTCGGGCTTGATGGTAGGCACCTTTACATACTGAGCCATCATGCTGATACAAAATCTTAAGTTCGGCTGGGCCTCGTGGCATGGGCTTGTTGAGAAATGGAGGAAGAGAGACTGAGAAAGCTCAAGACAAACTTGTGCTATGGAGTTAGTGAATGCCAGCTTGGGCAGCTTCACAAGACTTTGTTTCAAAATAAGAAGTGAAAAGGGCCTACGGCGCAGTGGAAGAGAGCCTTCCTAGCATTCTCAAGACCCCAGGTATAATTCCTAATGCTGCTTTTTAAAAGTTGGTTTTCAAGATAATTGCTGTCCTTTCTTGTGCCTGTGTAGCACAGATTCTAATTGATGTTAATAATAAAAACCCAGAGACAAATATTGGGGTTAAAGCTGAAGATCAGAGAAGCAAAGCAGCCAACCACTAGAGAGTTCTCACACTTCTACCAGTGCTTAGACCAAAGGGGCAATCTTGTCCTCAGACTGCATCTCCAGTCTGCATCTGTCTCCACCAAACCTCAGACTGCACTGAGCTCTTGTCTCTTCCCCCAATACGTTCCTCTCTAGTACTAGGGTTAAAGGCATGGGGTCCTAAGTGCTGACCTTCGTGTTAGCTCTGTTTCTCGTTTAGACTGGATCAATTTTGTGTAGCTCAGGGTGGCCTTGAACTAACAGAGATTCGTCTGCCCAATTGCCAGGATTAAAGGTGTGCACCATCACTGCCTGGCCTCTATGGCTAACTAGTGTGGCTTGCTTTGCATTCTGATCTTCAGGCAAGCTGTATTTGTTAGATCCTAAACAAAATATCACGACATGCCTGGGCCACTTTACTAACGAGAACTGCTAATTTTCCTTTGATAGCTTTGCTCTCCAAAAGCATTTTCCCTGGAACCCTACGAAGGGGTTTGTCACGGGGGTGTTCTTGGGCTTCAAGGGTCCACTGTAGAATGTCTTCCAAGAGTGATCCTCACAGGGACTGGGAGAGCATTTTGACTCGGGGAAGGACTTCCTCAGAGAGGCGGTGTTAATGGCACGCTGATCACTAACTTTATCATTTTCTTTCTTTCCATCCAGTTTTCCCAAGCATCCCAGAACAGCCAGGCATGCCTTGTCCTGGAGAAGACAGTGAGTGTTTGATTTTTTTTAAATTTATTTTTATTTTACTCTATGTATATGGATGTTTGCCTGTATGTGTGTTTATGCACCACAAGACCAATGTGCCTGCATTGATCAGAAGAGGGCATCAGGTCCCCTGAAACTGGAATTATAGTTATCAGCCACCATGCGGGGTGCTGGGAACCAAACCCAGGTTCTTTGCAAGAGCAGCCAGTGCTCTTAACCACTGAGCCATCCCTCCCGCCTGAGTGCTCCATTTTAAAGTTTCCTTTTAACACGCGCCACGTGCTACATTGGGGCAGTAGGTGGGTGCCCTGTGTGAAGCAGGGCCTTGAGACCCAGAGTCATTTACCCTGGTGAGGAGTATAACCATGACTTCAGGAGCTCTTTTTATTTTGGCTGGCTCCCCCATTATTTCTGTGGGTGTGATGTGGCTGACTGGTGCTTTGTCGGCAGTTGGGGGAGGTGAGGGTAGGAGGTGTGGCCAGCTTGATTGTTAGCTGGCATAGCAGAAGGTCCACAAAGTGACCTGATTTGTCCCAGAAGGAAAATGCCCAGGCCAGAACACCTGGGTACTGCACCTGTGTGTCTGTCTGTATTGCACCTGTGTGTCTGTACTCCTGTATCTGCCCCGTGCAGGCCCTCTTGTCCTTCTCCTGTCTTGTGTCCATCTGTTCATTTTTTCCCTTTTGATCTGTTGGTCAGAGATGAGGGAAGCAGGTCCCAGGACTTCTGGCATACCTGGTCGGTGAAGGAGAGAAGTACCTGGAGTTACACAACCCAGCGTGATTAGAGGAGGCAGGTGCTTAGCCCTGCGTTTTGCCTCCAGTGGGGTGGGGAACCAGCCCAGGCCACAGGGTAGAAAGCCAAGGGAGAGTATCAGTCAGGTGTGTATTCGTGTGTATGAGGGTGTTGCCTAAAAAGGCCTTTGACATACTGGGCAGTGTGACAAACTATGACACGGAACTCTCCAGCCCAAGTCCCAGGTAGCCTGTGCAGAGACTCCTTAGGACAGGTGGTCAGCATGCTGTGTTTCGAGCAGTACTTCTGGTGTTCCAGGACCCTCCCTCTGGGGAGCCGTGCCCACGGAGGGACAGGCGTTTGTGTCTTTATGAGTATGTAAAACAATAAAATAAGGCAGGGCTGGCAAGATGGCTCAGTTCTTGCCTGACGACCTGAGTTCAATCCCTGGAATCCATGTAAAAGCAGGAGGAGACAGCTAGTTCTTCAGAGTTATCCTCTGACCTCCAAACACACATGTACCCGTACTCACATATATCATACTCACATATATTCACACTATGGCACACATGTACCTGTTCTCACACACATCATACAGACGTCATACACCACACTATAGCACACATGTACCTGTTCTCACACACATCATACAGACGTCATACACCACACTATAGCACACATGTACCTGTTCTCACACACATCATACAGACATCATACACCACACTGTGGCACACATGTACCTGTTCTCACACACATCATACAGACATCATACACCACACTGTGGCACACATGTACCTGTACTCACACACATCATACACACATGTACATCACACTGTGGCACACATGAACCTGTTCTCACACACATCATACACACATGTACACCACACTGTGGCACACATGTACCTGTTCTCACACACATCATACGTACATGTACACCACACTGTGGCACACATGTACCTGTACTCACACACATCATACACACATGTACACCACACTGTGGCACACATGTACCTGTACTCACACACATCATACACACATGTACACCACACTGTGGCACACATGTACCTGTTCTCACACACATCATACGTACATATACATCACACTATAGCACACATGTACCTGTTCTCACATCATACACACATGTACATCACACTATGGCACACATGTACCTGTTCTCACACACATTACACATACATATACATCACACTATGGCACACATGTACCTGTTCTCACACACATCATACACACATGTACATCACACTATGGCACACATGTACCTGTATTCACACACATCATACACATATACACCACACTGTGGCACACATGTACATCACACTCTGTCCTGCACATTTCATTCCTTGACTCACAGTACTGTCAGCAGGTGGTGTCTGTCTGTCACCTGGATGACCTTTTGGCTGTGGCAACAGATTATGTTCATACATGTCAGGAGAGTCTCCAGGTGGCCCCTGTGACCAGAGGGCAAGAGGATAGCCCAGATGTTTGTGCTTCTGTCTCAGCCCTGCCCCAGGGTGCAGGTCTGGTGGTTTCCTGTTTGTGTGTGGATGCCGTAGGGAAGGTGCCTTGAGTTGGTGGGACATTGCCATACATTAGTGTCACTGGGTGTCTAAGAGCCTGGGGTCTCTGTTGAAGAGTAGAAGTCGGGTGTGACAATGTGGGTCCATATCGCCCCGTGAGCATGCAGAAAATGTGGCTAAGCCTTAAGACTGACCTGGTCACATGAGTAGATCCTTGAGATGCTTGCGGGGGTGGCTCAGCCTCCAGTAGACACTCAGTTTGGTCAGAACATTCCATAGCACCTTTGCGGAGGTCGTGAACTGAGTACCACACAAGATCAAGGGGTGATTGACAAGCCAGGGTCTCTCTGTCTCTCTCTCTCTGTCTCTCTATCTCTCTCTCTCTGTGTCTGTCTCTGTCTCTCTGTCTCTCTCTCTCTCTCTGTCTCTCTTGTCTCTCTATCTCTCTCTCTCTGTCTCTCTCTGTCTCTCTATCTCTCTCTGTCTTTCTCTGTCTCTATCTCTCTGTCTCTGTCTCTCTGTCTCTCTCTCTGTCTCTCTGTCTCTCTCTCTTATGGGTGACCCTGGCCTGGCTGGCTGGTGCTCTGGGGTACCAGCAAAGGCTTTTCTCTCCCTAAGTGTGTGAAACAGTGGGATCCTGACACAGGGCTCCCAGTCTGCATGATGGTGTTGTTTTCTCCAGCATGTCACACTTCCCACTCAATGCTTGTACCTGTCTTTGACACGGGAAACGCCTGTTCCTATCACCCAAGGGAATTGTTTGACTTTGCTGCCTGCAAGAACATTTGTGTTTGTAGTTTTGCTGAAGGTCACGAGGAGGTTCAGCCTGGTGGGATGTCAATGACAAGGGTGAACGTCATTAGGACAGTGTGACATGAATGGACAGACACATGGACAGATGGTAGCCGGAGGCGGGTACAAGTTTGAAAACTTTGCAGGACCTGGTTGACGTGGAACAAAGCACTGTCTAACTGATAGTGCCACACTGGCCAGTTGTAGCAGGCTTTTTGGACCAACAGCCCCCAAATTGTGACGTAGAGACTTACTATTAATTATGAAAGCTCAGCCTTATCTTAAGCTTGTTTCCAACTAGCTCTTAGAACTTAAAGTAACCCATTTCTATTAATCTGCGTGCTGTCAGGTGGCTCATGGCTTTTACCTCTCCTCTGCATGTCCTGCTTCCTCTGCATCTGGCTTCTGCCTTTCTTCTTCCCAGAGCTCTCTGTCCAGAAGTCCCGCCTATACCTCCTGCCTAGCTGTGGGCCATTTAGCTTCTTACTAAACCAGTCACAGTGACACATCTTCACACAGTGTAAAGGGATATTCCACAACATTTCCACCTTTTTGTCTAAATAAAAAGATGGGTTTTAACTCTAACACAGTAAAACTATATATAATAAGAATAGTTATCAGCACTCAGGAGGCAGAGGCAGGCGGGTCTTTGTGAGTTTGAGACCAGCATGGTCTACAAGAGCAAGTTCCAGGACAGGCTCTAAAGCCACAGAGAAACCCTGTCTTGAAAAAAAAAAATTATCAAGTAAGAATTCAATTTACAATGGCTAGCCCATTTGTACTTGGCAAATGTAGAGAAAATACTCCATTATTTATCCTATCTTAGTTCAAAGTTTTATACCTAAACCATTTTTTTTGTTCAACTTGTATTACTGTCCTAAATAGATCTTTTTAAAAAATATATAATTTATTTTTATGTACATTAGTGTATTGCCTGCATATATGTATGTGTTAGGGTGTTGTGAGCTGCCATGAAGGTACTGGGAATTGAACCTGGGTCCTCTGGAAGAGCAGCCTGTGCTCTTTACTGCTGAGCCATCTCTCCAGTCCCCTAAAATTATCTTTTTAGACCTTAAAACATCTTTTTTTAGATAAACAACTTAAGCTTTTATATTTATCAACCTAATAAACTTTGCATCTCTTATCTGGGTTTCTTTTTTTAATTTGGTAACAAGGAAAACTACAAAGCTCTATTTAGTCTTCAATCCCCATCAGAGACCCAAGAAGGATAAATAAAATATTACTTGAGTAAACAAGAAGTACAGAGAAAGAAACTTCCAAAACTAGAAATGACAGAGATATCTGACTGTCTAGACAGTCACCACAAGGTTTCTCTGCAATGTTGGGGCATCCATCTTCAGCCTACAGGCCTAAAATATCTGACAGATTTTTCTGTGAAACAGGAATTTTTGAAGGACTATCCTACCCTTTCTTGGCAAAGTGTGGTGGTTTTCTTTTGTGTCCTGCTTGTTCAGTTTTCAGCAGTTGAGGCAAGGGCAGTTTCTTCCCCAAATAGCTAGCTTTTACCACAAAGAAAGCAAACTCCATATAGAGGTTCTTCATAGCCTATCATCATTTTTTTTTTGGTTTGTTTTGGTTTTGGGGTTTTTGTTTGTTGGTTGGTTTGGTTTGGTTTTTCAAGGCAGGGTTTCTCTGTGAAACAGTCCTGGCTGTCCTGAAACTCCCTGTGTAGATCAGGCTGGCCTTGAACTCATAGAGATCCACCTGCCTCTGCCTCCCAAGTGCTGGGATTAAAGGCATCCAGCACCCACCTCCTGGCCCCATCATTCATTTTTTGAAGTAGATTGGAGCTGCCAGGAGCAAACATGTCACACTGTCATAAAAGCCGCCATATTCTGTAGGTCTTTGAAGTGTTTGAAGATCACCTATCTATCTAAAATATACCTCTGTATAACCTTGAAAACATACTTAACATGACTATAACTTTGTTATAGATGACTTAATCTGTCTTTTTTTTTATTATCCTAAATAGCTTTCAAGGACTAAAACTTTACATTTTAAAATGAGCTGCATAAATACCTTAAACAAGAGTAGACACACACACACACACACACACACACACACACAATAACTAAAATAACCATAAATTTGTATCAATATATAAAAATCCACATCAATGTAAAATATTTGAGACTAGTGGTTGTTCAAAAGTAGACTCCACAATCCACCCTTTCGTCCCGTCATTTCCTTACCACATTCTGCTTTCGCCTCCCTTAGAAAGAGGTCCCTGAATCTAACCTCCTTTGTTTTCCTTTTTCCTGACCATGACTAACAACAACTAAATGATGACAAACATTGATAACCCATCTACCCCACCTCTTGGGAATGAGGGCATTGTGTTTTCTAGACTGCTTCCTGTTAGCTGTGGACAACACATCTTTGGGGGACACTGAGAAAAATGAGATAATGGCCGAGTCCTGGAAAAGCCAGCCATTATCATTTGTTGTCCATTCTCTGTGCAATGGGAAAGCACAAGGCTTATCTGAAGTCCTGGCTGGGGTAGCCTGTGAGGCTGGACCATCTCAGCCAGCATCCTTGAAGCTGTTTTGGATGCAGAACTCTGCAGAAACTGAAACAGAGGCACTCCATGAGGCTGGATCACCTGGGCCACCCATTTTCATTGGTGTCTGGTCCCCTTACTCTGAAAATACACAAACTTTTAAAGGTAACATACATATCTATATTAACACAAGTATGGACTGTGTGTCGTACACAAGCCAGCCAAAGATGATGTTTTGTTTTATGTTTGAGCAGGTAAAATATACATCACCTGTCCTGTTGTTTTTCTAGGTTTATTTCTTTATATCTGTAGTTTGGATTTTCAGGAGGTCTCCCGTGGTCAACCTGATCCTCTTTAACCTTGAACAAATCCACAGCCTTTTGTTTTCTGTGAAAACAAAAGCATCACCTCTTCCCCAAAGCAGTACATTTTCTGACTTCCATTTTAAAGTTGAGGCATTCTTAAAATATCTAGACTGGTTTAATTCAGCATTCTCTTCCACAATCCAATGTCTCTCAGCACTGTC